ACGGAAAAAATTTCATCAAAATTCATTACAGATTACGAATTTCGGCGAAATTTTTCGACGGAAACATTTTCATTAAACTTTTTGACAAAAAAATATTTCGTCGAAATTTTTAGCGAAACACATTTCTATCGAAAATTTTCGACTAAATATTTTGTCAAGTTTTTTGATAAAATATATTTCCATCAAAATTTTCAACGGAACACATTTCTGTAAAATAATTTTGCAAAAATTTTTGACAAAAAATATTTCGATAAAAATTTTGACGGAAAAAATATTCTGTCAAAATTTTTTAGAGAATCTAAATTTCGTCGAAAGTTTCGAATGAAACATTTCCCTAAAAAATTTTCATAAAAAAATTTTGACGGAAAAAATTTCATCAAAATTCTTTACAGATTTCAAATTTCGGCTAAAGTTTTTAACGGAAAAATTTTCGTTAAACTTTTTGACAAAAAAAAATTTTTCGTTGAAATTTTTAGCGAAACACATTTCCATCGAAAATTTTCAAATAAATATTTTCGTCATGTGTTTTGATAAAAAATATGTCCATAAAAAATTTCTACGGAAAACATTTCTGTAAAAAAAAATTTCGATAAAAAATTTTGACGGAAAAAATATTCTGTTTAAATTCTTTAGAGAATCTAAATTTCGTCGAAAGTTTCGAATGAAACATTTTTCTAGAAACAATTTTCGTCAGAACACATTCCCATCGAAATTTTGAACGAAAAACATTCCGTCAAAATTTTTGATAGAATTTTTTTTTCGTGTAAAACATTTGATGGAAGAAATTATTTTCGTCAAAACTTTTGACGGAAACTAAATTTCGATAGAAAATTTATTTTTGTAAAAATTTTCATTAGAGAAAAAATTTCGTTGCTTTTCGACAAAAAGTATTCCGACGAAAAAAAAATTTTGTGACGAAATTCTCGTCGTTTGTAATGTAGAAATTTCGACGAAATTTCGTAAGGAAACCAAGTCAAAAACGGGTCAGGGAAGATTTGATCCACTTCAGAAATCAAGTCAGACCAACTTCAAAAACCAAGTCAGGTCAGATCCGATCTAATTCTGAACTAGTTCAACAAAATCCAAACCAAGTCAGACCTGACTTGGATCAAATTAAAGCGGGTCAGGTTAAAATACCTGACCTATAAAAACCAAGTGGGTCGAGTCAGACAAAAATCTGACTCGACCTGACCCACAGACAGCCCTACTGCTAACCAACATAAGTTGAACTTTGTGAATAGTCACGTAAAATCATTGATTAGATTGATAATATATTTTGGGAGACAGTTTGATACTCTATTTATCTAAATTGTTAAAGGAATACTTACAGATTGATTATCTCGAAGGATTGCTGATTGTGAAAATCGAACCTAATTCTTATATGCTAAATACTTTCTGACAAAATTCGACTCTCGTTGATGTGTTCTATATTCGATATTCACTAAAACGCTAATAGCGAAGTATACTATAAGAATGGGACGGAAAGAAATGAACACTTAAAAATTATGTTTTGGATCAAATAATACGAACATTTAAAACGAAACAGGATATGCAAAATCAACATTTGTCAGAGGTTTCGGAATCAAAAGCCTTGTTATTGATAGAGAGGTAGGTCTAATAGTCTCATGTAACACTACCATGCTAAGAAGCATAGATATGACAAATGACATGGATATAACATGACAACAACACGATGACATAATAAATTTTAAAAATTATAGAACACTACACCATTTAAGTATAACATTTATGATTAATACAAGATACACACCCCTACAAATACTAATATGATAGTATCCGATGGCAACCATTTTAAAATGTTCGTTAGTCCTAACAACCGTCGCACAAAAAGGGAAAAGTGCGCGTGGTGAGGTATTCAAATTCCTCAATAAACCCCTTTTTTCGTAAGATGTATTTAGAAATCATTTTAAAAGAGAGAAAGATTATTCTGCAAAAATCTTAATTTCTACAGGTCTTTAAATAATTTATATGTATATTATAGTTTTCTACAAATTGCGGCATTTTAGAATCACCAATTATACTAATAAAAAGTAGTGATCACCTTTGATAAATGTAGTTCAAAGTTTGGCGAACTGTACTCCAATCTCTAAAAGGTTAAAGAAAGTTGAAGATTAGGTCGTTCCCCGGCCCACATTATGGTACCATTTTGGCGCTTACCTCGTGAGCAAAGTTTCTGTGCTCCCGGGAGCAGAAATCATTGGGTGAGACTGTGGTGATAGAAAAATAGAAAAGATTGAGGAGAAAGGAGAGAGAAAAAAGAAAAAAAAATTAATCCAAGTGTCAATTTTTTAATAAAAGGACCATTGTGGTCCTGAACAACGTTGAAAAATTCTTTTACCTTGTAATGGTTCTCGTTCATCGACTTTACTTTAGTTCCTAACGAAGTCATTGTATGTCAGTGTCAAATCTCTACTTTTCATTTAACCTTTTTCAGTAGATATAAGACATAGCACAACTAAACAACTTGGTACACGCTTAAGCCTATAATGTGTGTATAATTAGTCATGAAACCATTCTTATAAAAAGGTAATTTGTCCCATATAAAAGGAAATAGAAAATGGTGACTTCGAATTAGGTTGGCCGGTTAGAAGAGTTCGTTACTACAAACTTAAAAAAAGAAAAGCAAATGATTATTAAATTGGTGATTTTTTTTTTTTTTTTGGAAACTGATCCTAATTACTTCTTTGAGGCGAATCAGAAGCTCCCGGTATCCCCACGGGTTCGACTCTTTGAGCCGCCTATGGGACTAGCGAATCAGAAGCTCCCGGTATCCTCACGGGTTCGACTCTTTGAGCCGCCTATGAGACTAATTCAGAGTTCGGGTGTGAGTCCAAGGATTACAGTACTTATATACGCCCCTCCCCAGATGGTGTTGGTGTTGGTGGGATTCGAACCGAAGTCCTCTCCCACCACTCAGTCCCTATGCTACCAACTGAGCCACTACATTTGGGTTTAAATTGGTGATCTTTTGTGATAGCTCTAAAGTGTATTCATAACAATGTATTCTTATTTCAGATCATCAAAATTATGACACATGGGTTAAATTGACGGATTACAGTACTCTTTTTTTTTTTTTTGCGAGTCCAAGAATTACAGTATTTTTTTTTTTTTTTAAATTGACGGATTTGTGAGAATTACTCTCACTTTATATCTGTGAGTTGTTGATCAAAACATCACAAATTCACAATCCCCTGTGGTCATTGTCAATAGTATTAATTTATAGTTGACCTTTAGAGTATGACATTAGTATGGAACTTTCTTCTTGTTAATATTAATGCTAATTAACTTTTTTTGACACTTAAAAATATGGCTAGCTAATGGATCGATAATTAGGACTTTTGCTCGAAGTTGAGGAATAAAAAATTAAGTATGTTAGGAAAATATTTTCAATATTCTCGTAGTACCGTGTACAGGATACATCACTTACTACGAATAGAGAAGAGTAACCCATACATCACTTACTAACGAACTGAGAAGAGTAACCCGCCAAATACTATTTAATTTTACCCTACAAATTTTTTTTTTTTATGATTAATATCACATAAATCTCACTTTTTACTACTTTAGGTAAAGAAATATAGTCATAAGCATTGAAAATATGCTGGTATGTTAGATGCTATCTTTATTCGTGTAATCTACATTTTACTAGCTAGTTGCCTTTTGGAATTCAGGTATAATTAAGAAGTTTAAAGCAGTGTTTTAAAACCCGGCTCGGACCGGTCGGGTCAACCCGGGACTGACTCGGTGGGTTCCCGGGTCCGAGTGGGTAGTTGGACCGCTTCTGCAGTCAACTCGGATTGGACCGGTTGACCCGGCCGAAACCCGGTAACCCGGTTGACCTATGTTAGACCGGTTATTCTTTTTTTTTTTTGGGTAATTTTTTTTTTTTTGTTTATAAGAACTCTTAAATTAAATAATATTCATATTTTATGATAAATATGATTAAAAATAAGGTAAAAATAATAAGGTATTTTAGATTAGTGCAGTTCGTTTACGTAATTTAGTTGAATCTTATAATGATCTCATGAAGTTAAATGGTGATAAACACTGATGGTCTCATGATCTTATCTGAACGGTGAACACTTTTTTTTAGTGTATATTTCATGCATATTATTTGTTATCATGATTTAATTTATCCGTATCATGTTAAGCACAAAAGGTGCATTTAACTTATATTGCAATTTTAATTCAATATTAAGATATGGTCTAGAGCTAGAAGCTTAGAAGTATATAATATTTGCTATCATTGAAAATTAATTTATTTTTTGAAGTTCATTGATAATTTTTTTATGTGAATTTTTATTAATATAAGTAATATTTTTATATTTTTATATTTTTAATATGTGAACAGTAAATTCGGTTCAACCCGGTTGAACCAATCACCCAGTGACTCAGTACCTCGACCGGTTCGATAACCGGTTCAAGTTTTAAAACACCGGTTTAAAGGTACTAAATTAACCCTCAACCCTGTGATGCCTTTATAAAGTTAATCCTGATAACGAATTTTGCATCCATGTTAGAGTAGTGTAATATTATTTTAATTCCCGTAGTTTGGCAGTGGCCTAGAGGATCTATACGATCTCGATTCTTATATACACTTTTAATGTTTTCTTAAGAGATATGAATGTTGGCTGTGATGGGCACATTTTTGGAATATACGTCTATACATAATAAGATCCAGGTGTGATTGTGAATACATACTCTCTTTTTTTATACATTAGTGAGAATTGAACACACAACTTAATATAAATTACTCAAATTTTTCATCAATAGACTAATCCTATTGGCATAAATATATACTTATTTTAAATACTATTCATACACCACAAGAAAAACGGCTTTTAACCATGACTTTTTAACCACGGTCAATTCATACGCTCTAAAAAATTTAAATATAATAAATTTTACTATACACTTAAAAACGAATGGCATTGTCAATCACGAAAATACATTTTCTCTCGATCTTTCCTTCGTCAAATTCTCAGCACTCTTTCTTCATTCTCAAAAAATGACACGCTTTTTTTAATTTTAATTTCTTCATTTCTCTCTTTCTTTACTAGGGTTTGGATGTGTGTTTCATTTGCCAAAATAGTGACCATACCTCATTATCTCTCTTTCTCTGCTTCTCTTCTCCGCCATTTGCAGGTTTTTTTTATCAATTGTAATTAAATTTGGGCTTTTAAACTCTTTAATTGTCTGATTTAGATTTCGTTTTCAATACCG